TACTCAATGAAGTATGTTGAATTTATGATTTTTTTTTTTCTGTTAAAGGTGATATTTAACATATTAAATTACAGAACTGATCTTTGGGTGGTGTGATTAAGTGTTTTGTAAAAATAAGTCCACCAATTGTATATAAGCTTCTTTACCTTTCGTACCTGTTCAGATATATTTTAATTTAGGTACAGCTAAAGTTAAAAGCTTGAAGTTATAAAGTTCAATTTATTGATGTTTGTATTTATATTCCTGGATCACTGATCAGGAGCAATTAATTACTAAACCCAAAAGTGCTGCCTAATTTGAGTCTGAAAATCTAAAACATGTTGTGACAGTGAGTTCTACCCTCTGCTGTGCCTCAATGTGTCTCTGGAGCTGTCAGGTGTACAGACACTGTGCAAGGGGCTGGAGACCCTTCAAAAAGATGTATCCTTAAATAGGAAACAATGAAAGAAAATTTTCAGTAATTTTGGAAGAAACCTAAGAAAGGAGGGAAACTAGGGCTTTTTTGTGAAACACAGAGCATACTTGGTTCTTGAGTGGCTTGGGTAATAAATAGTATTTTGCTTTAACTATTTAATTATGTATTTGTTTTTAAATACTGCATATAGTCATCTTTTATGACACCAGTATTACTGGTAATTTAACTAGTTGTAGAGCCTGTGAGGTAGAGGGAAGGATACCATTGTGGTATCACAGTACAGGGTCAGAATGATTGATTCAGAAGGCTGTATGATTGAAGTCTTGATACAATGACATTAGTGGTATGAATTTGGTTTGGGTGCTCCTAGACAGGTGGAGCCCATTCTGAAAAGTGAAAGTTTTCATGAGGAGACCTCATGTTAGGAAAAATGGTTACTCCTGTGAAGCTCTGCTGCATTTTGGGGAAAATTGGAGCTTTGCTTTACTGAGTTCAGAAGTCTGCCTGGTTCTTTCACCAGCACACTTAATTTTAAATAAAGTATCTGTTATAAATGTTTATTCAACCTTTCTCCTTTTTAAACACCAAAAAGGAAATCCAGAGAAAAAGTTCTAAACTAACATCAGGAGTCTGATTAAACTGGGAAGATGCAGAGGTAGGACCAAACAACTCTTATTTCTGTGCTGAGTTATTTTACACTGTTTAGTTTGCAAGGTTCCTTCCCTGATAGACTGTAACAGCTGCCAAAACATAACTTTAATGAGGTAAGGGCTGGTTTAGCCTGGACTGTAAATGGTTCCTATGTTATGCTCCCCTGCATTAGCTGTATTCTTGAGACACATCCTTTCATATAAAAGAGTTGTAGAGAGTAGAATGAGAAGGAGCAGACTATAAAATGAACACGCTAACAGGAGCTTAAATTTTAACCTCTGCTGTTGTGCTGGTATTATGGTTGATGGAAAGTGCCATTGAGCATGCTCACTACAGAATTACTTTTTGACTAGACAGGACTTTTGTTTGAAAATAGATGCTTTCCCCAGGAGGAGAGACTGACCTACAAAGGACAGCTAAAGAATGAAGCACACAAATTTTCCTGGAAAAGTTACAGCAGTGTTTTTAAACTTTGACCGAAATATTTAGATTATTATATTCTCTCCATCCTTGTGTAAAATCCAACATTTTGGTTGTGGCTAGAGGTGCAAGATTTACTGGAAAACTTAAGAATGAAATATAAGAATGCATATATATCATCAGAAACTAGGTAGCGATGAATTGAGTCAGAATTGAGACTGCTGTGCACAAATTTTTCTGCTGAGTACATTGCTCAGAGAGGGAGTTGGAAGGCAGATCAAATTTGGCAGTGAAAGGCTGGAAATGCTCTAAGTAATGAAGCTCTAAGTGATGAGGATAAACCAGTATTGTATCAGTTGTTGTTGTTGTATCAGTACTGACTTATTAAATGGTTTCACACTATGAAATTTCCTTCTGCAGAAGCTTGCTTCAGTACAAATGTATAGAGAAGTCAGCTAAACCTTTCCAGATATCTCAGGGGTTGTTCATCTTGTTAGATGAGCAAGAAAATGTAGGACTTCCCTGAAGTTGAATGGGCTCTGACCATAATTTTGGATCCACATATCTTGGATCCAAAAGCCATTTTAATATTGATTTTGGGCTATGCTGAAACTCATAGTCTTTTTGCCTTATCTGATTTTTCACCAGAGATTTTTCTGGGATTTTTTTTTTAACTGTTCTTGAAGTCAGCCTTGTCCATTGTGCATTCTTTTGTAGGAAAGGCAGCAAAAATTTATGTGTGTCTTTACAAATAGCAGGAATTTGTCCCTTGGGAAGAATTACAGTAATGACTTTAAAGATACCAAAACTAGAAGCGGAAATTATGCTAAATCCTACTCAGGAATCATGGAATGACACTGTTGATGCTATAAAGATAAGTGAAATTGGCTATTTCCTGTAGTGGCCCTTTTTGCAATTTAAACTTAATAGGCAATATTTAATCATAACTGAATAGAAGAAAAAAATGCAATATGTTTTCAGGAAAAAAAATTATCAGGTGATGTTTGTCCATTTTTTACAACTTTAAACTGACAAGTCATAGACTAGAGTGTCCTTCTAGTTGACAGTAAGTGGTATTTATGTTCCTCTGAGAGGAGATTAATCTAGATGATTTCCTAGAGTCTCTTTTCGTTCTTCATGTTCACAGTTCCTAGATGCTGATAGCAAGGGAACATTCAATCAGTTCAACACGAAGCTAAGTAAAAAACACTTACGATTTTTTTGAGATGCATAATTAAACTCTATCGTGTATTGCCCCAAGATATCATTGCAGACAGATGGCAAACAGGAACCGAAAAAGTCTTAAAATTTTATATATCTCTTCACAGTATTTACAGTTGCACTAGAAGTGGGACTTATAGAAGGGATATAAACATTCATACTTCTGCTGTCTGTCAGATGGGAAGATAAAATTGGTTAGTGTCAAATTTTCTTATTTTAGAAAACCATATATTATTGTATATGAGACAAATGGTCAAGGTCTCTGTGCTAAATTCTGTGCTCTTTAATTGAGTAATGGCTTTTTTCTGGCAAAAGCCTATGGAATTCAGCTCAGTTATATCTTTTCTATGTGAATTGTTTTTCATGCAGTGCTATGCGCTGCAAATTGGGAGGCATTAATAACAACAATGCAAGTCCTAAAAAATTAACTGTTTTCATGGGTAGGAAATTCTATCTCTTGCCTACCATTAACCAGCAACCAGTGGCTCCTGTTCAGTATTCTATTCACCATGGAATAGTTTCACATGTCTTTAAACAGGAGTTTTAGAGGTTTAGGTTTAAAAGATTCTGCATTGCTGAACAGACATTCAGCTGGCTGACTGGCTGTACTTTGAGCACTAGTGGAGTTAGAGCACTGCTTTAGTGAAGTAAATAATAAAAAACCACTAACTTTCAAGGTTAGTGTTAGAATGAAGAGCATGTTCCGATAAGTTTAGGAAGACAGAGATTTGCATTGCTGTGATACTAAAGCAGAACAAGCATTCATAGAAGATCTAAAAATTTTTTTCTGTGATGAATGCTTTGAAAAATCTGTTCAGAATGTTGCTAATTTACACTACTGGAATGAACAAATTTAGAGGTGATTTGTATGTACGCTATTCATAGCACATCTGAGTGCTGCATATGCTGAGCACCAAATTCCACCAAAGACATCACTGCATTGCTTCTCAATGAGACTCTGCATTAAGGAAAACACACACTGCTGAGAGCAGGATTATTGTTGTTGAGAAAAAACGTGCAGACAAACTGGATGGGCAAAGAATAGATTTTCAACCCTGGGCTTATTGGAAAGAAAAAAAGGAGTCGGCTGTTTCTTTATATACTACATTGTAACAGAATATACAATCTATATTCTACTTAAATAACTTTATATTTTCTGAAGTGTGCAATAATTTCAATGACTTTGGTGTGTTGCCAGTGTTTAAGTTAATTTAATTGGTATAATCTATTTAAATCCTTTAGAGCTATTCCATCAACTTAGTGACTATTCCATGAATCACTCAGGGAATGTGTGAAAACACACCTAAGCTTTGGAGAAGAAAACTTCCACTGTAATTTCAGAAATTCTCTTCAGATCCTGGGAACTGTTTCTGACTCTAAACAAAGTTCTGTTTTTTTTTTTTTTTTTTCCCAGTGTCATGATTTGTTTGGATTTATTTTTTTAATTATTACCTTCTTGTAGGTAACCTAAGAAGAGTAAAAAGGCAAGGAGATCTGTTGCAAGGATGACACGTGCGTCATTGTGTATATGATGACATATGACCAAAATCTGGTTAGAAAGTAGAAAAATGCTCTGGAGGGCTCTAAACAGGTAATAATATAGATATTTTTAAAGTGGAGGAAAAGCAGAAGTCTGTGTTGCTCTTTTAAGCTTCTGTAGGAGTACTTCAGCTACAGAGAAAAATGGCTCAGCTTCAGTGGTTTTTAGCCCAGAGAGAGCTGTCAGTCATCTTGACTCCCTTGAACTGCACACTGCAGAGTTAGTAACAGTAGTTGCCAGTGTTGCCAATAATTTTGGCACCCAAATGGCTTTTGTTTGAAATTATTTTATAGAGTTTTGCATTTTTTTTTCAGAAACATTCACTTTTTCTGGTTTGAGGTTGTTGAGAGGAAAGAGGAAAACACTCTGCACATACACATACTGAAGTGCACAGGTCTCCATGAAACCATGCCCAGCAAAATCTTCTGTCTGTCACAGCTTTCTGTCTGTGGCATCATCTCTCCTAGATGTACCAACATGTCACGAAATTATCTTTCACAAATAGAGCAACTGGTTACTGTGAGAAGTGTGGTGAAAACAGTGGGAGACAAACATCAGAGAAGAAAGGGAAGTTTCAGGAGGGTTAGGAAAAGCATTCAAAGTAAGGAGAAATCAAAGTGTACCTTCAGGGCTGTAAAACATTTTAGCTAGTCTAGAAAACACTTTGACTTCCTGCTTGATTTCTCACCAATAACACAAAATCCCATACTGTCATTGAAGACTGGAGAGTCAGCAAGAGCCTCTTTTCCTTACCTTGTACAGGCAGCCAGAATTCTGCCCATGGCTCCCGAGCACAGTGGGATTGGACATGCTCCACTTTCCGTACGAGTGCTGAACATGTGGCTCTGGATCCTGCTTTTGAAGCCTGCTTAAAGAGAAATGCAACAGAAAGGTGACTTGTTTTAGTAGCTGACAGTGCAGAAGGAATGAAGGAATTGTCATTTATTATTAGCTATTTTAATTATAAAAATTGCCTCACCAGTCTTCTGGCTAGAATAAACCCTGTGTGATGGGTTTGGTTCATTTGTCTACACCTCCATGCTCTAACAAAGTGCTGTGCTATGTTCAGTAGTGTTCACAAACCACTGAGACTCTGGGATGAATGTAGCCAGAAAAATATTATAGGTATTTCTGAAAGAAGCAAGTGTTTCCTTTTGAAACTTCAGTGCTTTGAAGTCCCTTGAGAACACAACTATGCTAAATTCATCATCATTAGGTTGTGAGGCACTTTTAACAACTGCAGCAAGGAACCACACCAAACTTAAACTGAAATTTTCTAAGCTCACATGGCAAAGTTTAAGTCTGGTGTAGCCAATGTCTGTATATACACTCAAATACAAATATTTTGGCTTTGTATGTCTTATTTGCTCGTGCTTAAAAAAAAAGTATATGTTTAAAGATTTTGGTCCATCACTTGTTTCTATTGACCATCTGTAGGCAAATAAGGGTTTGTTTGTAGACATATGAAGTTAAAAATAATAAGATTCACAGCATTGCACGGGACCTACCTGATGCCAGATAGTTTCATTGTTGGACTTATATAGGTATATTAATATTGATAATTCAGTGCTATTAGATCCACTTGCATAAAGAGCCATTAGTACTAAGATGTAATAATTAAAGTACTCAATACCTGAATTATTTTTATTAGGAGAGGACGAAGAAAATGTATTATTGCTGTAGATGCTAAGAGGTTAATACTTGTAGTAGGGCAGCTCTGCATAACTTTCTGAAAAGGGAAAATTTCTCCCTAGAGGCAACAGGAAAACTCTCTAATAATTCTGTTCTTTAAATGTGCTGGTGGTTATGCATAGTTAATGAAATTAAATCAGTAAAAATTTTCCTTCTATTCAGACGAAATAAAGCTCATCATATAATAAGTGTATGACGTATTGCTGGCTGAAAAATTTCCAAGAGATTTAGAATATCTTCCCACACATAGTAGGATTTAATAGCTGTCTCCTAAGCATCTTTTTCTTGCTCATTATTTAAAATATATGGTCTTTTTAACAAAAAAAAAAATTAAAATTGTATTTGAGCTTAAAATTATAAGGAGTATTTATTTTGCATAAAGACATAAAGTTAGAAGATCCATTTTCCAAACAGAATTTAATAATTATTCCAGGAATGTAGGAATCTTTACCCAAAAAATGCATAAAAATTCTTAGTTAATTATATACTCTTCTATTTAATAATATAACTGACTAACATCCTGATTTTAAGTAAGGGAAAGAAAGAAACTACAGGTCTGTCAGTCTCAGTTTAGAGCCCGGTAAAATATTGAAAAAGATAGGGAGGTATTGAAAAAAATCTCTAGAACAAAGCAGTCATTTGTCACAGCCTACAGGGCTTCATGAGGGGAAGGTTCTGCTTGTCCAACCTAATTTCCTTCTGTGACAGGGTAACCCACTTAATTGATCTAGGAACTCCACTAGATACAATCTTTTTGAATTTCAGCAAAGCTGTTGATGCTGTGCCTCACGGTGTCCTTATGGGTAGAATGTCCACCCCACACCTGAACAACTGAGTTAGGCACTGTGTGAGCAGCTGGCTCACAGGTCTGGCACAGTTACAGTGAATGGGGTGACATCAGCTGGTGTCTGGTCACCAGTGGGGTTCCACAGGGCTCCATCCTCAGCTCAGCACTCCTCAACATCTTCAATAACAACCTGTACATAGGGCTTGAAGGAATACTGAGTAAGTTTGCTGATGACACTAAATTGGGTAGCACTGTTGACTCCCTCAAGTGTAGAGAGGCCCTGCAGAGAGACCTGGACCCATCAGAGAGATGGGCAGTCACCAACTCTGTGGAGTTTAGTAAGGTCAAGTGCTGGACTCTGCACCTGGGATGGGGCAGCCCTGGTTGTGTGTATAGACTGGGGAGTGAGAGGTTGGAAAGCAGTGCTACCGAAAGGGACCTGGGGGTCCTGGTCAATGACAAGTTGAACAAGAGCCAGCACTGCTGTGGCAGCCAGGAGGGCCACAGGTGTGTCCTGGGGGGGCATCAGGCACAGCATCATCAGTCAGGCAAGGAATTGTCCTGCTCTGCTCTGCACTGGGGCGGCCTCACCTTGAACATTGTGTGCAGTTTTGGGTGGCACAATGTGAAAAAGACATTAAGCTATTGGGGAGCATCCAAATGAGGGCAGAAAGGACAGTAGGAGGGTCTGGAGGGAAAGCCTTATGAAGAATGGCTGAGGTCATCTGGTTTATTCAGCCTGACGAAGAGAAGACTGAGGAGACCTCTCATTGCAGTCTACAACTTTCTCATGGAAAGAAGATGAGGGGCAGGAACTGATCTCTTCACTCATGATTGGTGACAGGACTCAAGGAAATAGCATGAGGCTGAGTTAAGGGAGGTTTAGGTTGAATGTTAGGAAAAGGTTCTTTATTCAGAGGGTGGTTGGGCACTGGAACCAACTCTGTCAGGCTTGGTGCTGTGGTCACTCAGAGAAATGGTCATAGCACCAAGGGTGGCAGAGTTCAGTAGGAGTTTGGACGATGCTCTCAGGCACATGGCGTGACTCTTGGGGATGGTTCTGTGCAGGACCAGGAGTTGGACTTGATGACCCTTGCAATTCCCTTCCAACACTGCATATTCTGTGATTCTATGTCTACAAACTATATATCGTGCTTTTTCCTAAGTTGAATTTCCACAATGTATCCAAGTTGTCATCTATTTTAAACTTAGGTAACTTGTGCTTTAATACTTTCAGAAACCTTGCTAGTTGACTATGTCAAATTATTGAAAAAATTGGCAGAATAAGTGGAGATAATGATCCCTATAAATGACCTTGAACCCTGAAGCAATAAATAGACTGTAAATGCCATTTTCAAAATATGACATGAAGTTTTATTCTCATTATACAGTATGAATGTAACTCCCAGAAGTGATTCAGGCAGAGATGATACATTCCCAGGCTATACCATCTTTACCATGAGAACAGAATGGGAAGTGAATTATAGTTTCTTCAGTTATAATATCTTAATAAGATACACGTGACAAACTGATTTATATGTGAAAAAGTTAAAATGCTGACTTGTTCCACTTATCACTTGAACAGCCACACTTTATATTTTCACATTTAATACTTTCACACAAACTGGTTACATTTTCAGTAATCCTTACTGAATCTCTTTAATTGCTATAAGGAAGAAAACCAAAAATGTTTATTCAGAAAGAACTGGTGTAGCACTACCCTTCTATTCAAGTTCAAATCTTTACATCTAGGAAACAATGAAATTTGTTTAATGACCATGTAATTGGACTTTGTTCTGGTAGCAAACAATACCTGTCAGGAAAATGCTGTCAGTATCCTAGTGATGTGTGGTACACAAGAACATCCCTTCCTGGCTGCTTTTTGAAAACACCCCAGAAGAGCCATAAGGGGTAAACATCTTCTTTCTCTTTGCTGGTAAGTCTATAAAACCTTGGTCCAGTGAATATTTCCAGTCTTTTTTCTTGCTTTTCCTAAAATGAAAGGAGGAATAGAAGGGCTGAATTGATTGGAACAACTGCACAAAACATGAAGGGGTTCCAACAGAGTGGTATGAGGAAGGCTGCATGCGAATATAACATGAGCTAGACTAGGAGAAAGGGAAATTACAGTTGTTTTCTTTCTGGAGAGTAACTGTGGGAAGGCAGATAATTCAAGTGCAGTCTATAGGAGTAATTTAACAGAAACTAACAAAAATGATGGGTTTTGATTTCTAGGTTCCTCAAAAGTTACTGAAAGCTGTGGGAAACAATTTATTGCAATTTTACATGCTTGATTTTTGTGCAGGAATGGCCACACATTATTTAGCATTTTATTTCTTGTATCTCTCCCTGAGTTCAACACTAGTTGAACTAGTTGCTTACATCTTGTGTGTCTGTGTATAGAAATACAATATAAGTCTTCAGAAACAAAGCAATAAAGAAATCAAAATGGATAGACAGATCAAATTATACTCCACTCTGAACATAGCTGAAGCAATTTGGTCTTATGCAGCGGGCTTTGATTATAACTCTAATTCCTTCTTCACACAGTCTGCCTCCTATATTAATGTGTCAATTCAAGTACTCTTTACTCTTGTCCTACATTTGATTAAAAAAGAAAAAAAAATCACATCTGGGCTATATAATTTTAGAATAGGCTCCATTAGTCATGGTGACCTTGATTGACCTTATTTTTTGTTTTAGAAATATGCATATCACATAGTCAAATGAGCTAAAGACCCGTTTTCTAAGGGAACTTAGAAATGAGGACGTAACGTTAGTGAAAAGAGAGTGAGCTTGATCTGAAATTAGTGTGTAACATTCCATCATGCAAGAGGCTAGGGAGAGCAGGAGGCATGCATAATCCAGAAGATGTGGTAAGTGGCATGCAATATTCAAAAATGTCTCTGCAAGCAGTATGGATACAGTATCTTCCCTTACTGCACTTCCCTTACCTTGCAACGTATAGGAAAGAATGTGCAGCTCAATGTAGTGACCAAACCGTATATAGGGGAGAATTTATGTACATAAATTGAGAGCCAAACCTGCACAACTGTGCTTCTCCAACATGGTAAAAGTTGCACTGGGACATAGTCTGCTAATAATTCCTTATTTAGACACCTGAAATTCTCAGCTTCCCATTCCAGGATGCTAATGATCATAAAAGGTTTTTTGTATACAAATTAAAATAATTGCTTTCATGATCCTCAGAAAATAAATACTATCCACACATGTGAAGGTGGGGAGGCACATATTCAAAAGCTGTGAGGAAGATTTGGTCTGTGGATGTTTATAGGGGTTGAGGGGTTGGTTTTGTTTTCCTCCTCTAAAGAGTCTCAATAAACTTACATGGCTTCCGAAGAAGAAGTGCAAACAAGTCCAAAACAGATGTAAGGGCCCAGGACCAAACATTCAGCTTCTGTTATTCATTGCTGTAGTGTGTGGATTCCTATGAGGTTTAGGCCTCCAAAACACTTTTCTTTACTGATGAGCCCTTCATGCACTGAAAAAGTTTGGCCTTTTTTCACTTTTGAATAAATTCAACTATAGCAAGAAATTAGTTCATTAAAAAATTAAGAGGAGTGAATTACTTATGAATTGAAAATGGCAAAGATTGAGATTCTCTGCAAAATTTCTTTGTCATATGTGCACACACAAGCTAGAAATGAGAAAAGGTCATACAGAAATGTTTTCAGGGGAGGACAAGGGAGCAAGTGAGGAAATACTTGAAGAAGCAAAGCCTGGGGGACCTGCTGCTCTGGAGAATTTATGGCATTCTCTTGTGGTCAGGGTGAACATTTAACCTGTCACTTGCTTGAAAATGAGAGAAAAACACCTGTTTGTACTGATTAGTAAATTGGGAGTAGAAGAGAAAGGGATTGAGGTGGCAAGATAATCATGAGCCTCCCACATATTTAACTTCTGCATCTAGAAACATAAGACAATCGTAGCAAAAACTGACTCCCTAAACATAAAAAAACATTTTGATCAGGAATTGTTATGACTCTTATAAAAGTTGGTTTTTATTAGGCATGTTTTAATTGTTCTTTTTAAACTGCAGTAGAAAATCCGTGGCTGTCCAGACTGCAGCAGATGAAATTAATATGTTTGGATTTGATTTCAGAGTTTTACCTCAATCTATGAAATCAGCTGACAAAAATTAATTCACATTTACTTGAAAAGAGTACATGTTCCAAAACAAAGACCTTGAAAGACTGCCAGATGTATTAAAAATTACATCTCAAGCAATATAGTTATTTAATGACCTGTTTTTTCTAATGATGGTAAAACATATCCATGAGTGCAAAACATTTAAAGTAAATGGTAGGGAAAACATTGAATTAGAGTTAAAAGAGTGGATATACAGGCAAAAAAAAAAAAAAAAAGTGGCAATACAGAAAGATATCTGTTAAAATTGGTGAAAAGTTTTGTAATTACTATAAACACAGTAAAATATAGTAATATATTTATTATTCCCATGAGTGTCCTTAAAAAGAAAAAAATATTCACAGGGGAATGAAAGAAAACCTGTCCAGAAACAGTCTTCTCTATTTTGCAATTTTGGCCTTAGAGTTTGTATTATTTATGATGTTAATTCCACAGGCCTCAGAGAGCATTTTTTCCCAGAAGTGGAATGCTTTGAAAAAATATATTTGGAGAAAACTGTGAAGTTTCCCTCCTCCGAACCATCTCAATCAAAGATTTCATCACGGAATCTGTCCTTACGTGGTTACAGATGAATCAGGCTTTGCTGGAGAGTGAATTACCAGATACATAATCAGCTTAAGGTGAAGAAGAGCAACAGAAATAGATGGAGTGACATATGGGAAAAGAGAGAATGGCGTTAAAAATGCATAGCTTGGCTTCAGAAATGACTTCATCTGTGATGGGCTTTGACGATAGTTTGCAGCTATTGGGAAAAGTGTGAAATAAAAAAAAAAGAAAAAAATTTGTGTGAAACTTAGAGTATTTTTGTTTACACCAAGATTGAATTCAGCCATATGTTTTCTGTAGAGGTGGCTGTACATTCCTTTCAGCCTATATCCACTAGATTTTTCAACAGATTGTGTTCTGTGAATAAAGAGGTTATAGAGACCTAATATTTCACTAGCTCTTTGCTATCCATATCTCTGCCCAGATCACATTTTATAGGATGTGGAAAATTGTTATATTCATTCAACAGATAGGGAGAATTCCAGTGTGACTGCAGGCTTGTACAACACCTGCAGAGCCCAGTGGAAAGCCACGCCAAGGCTATGAACCGTGGTGTACTGGAAGGACCTTCATTGCCTAAAGTGGAAAACACTACATCAGAAGGGTGTGCAGGGCAGGGATTTAAACCTGCTTGACTCCTCACTTCCCATGTTGATGTTACTGTGTCATACTTTCTCCCTGTCTTTAGTTAGACATGTGGTTTTGTTTCGGGCTTGGCATGATGGGAAACACTGCTGTGGTGTGGAAGCAATCCTATGCTATGAACAGAAATATCACTCAATTCAGCACTTTCACAAACAGGAATAGGTAAGCAGTTAGACTGAGGCTGTAAGTAAATCTATTCCTATGATGATACCTCATTTTCTCCAGAAGGAACACAGATTTTTTAAATCTGTAAATCTGTTCATTTCATTGTGAATGCTGCACTAAACCACATGAAGCTGTGGTGAAAACTGAATTAGTTTCAAATAATGGCTGCAATGTGACCAAAACCTTCCTGCAGCTTTATCTTCAGACTTCCCCTCTTCCTGCTTTTTCCTCTCAATTCCTCTTAAAATTTTGTTGGTATGTGAAGCTAGTTGTTGTTTTCTTCTTGGTCAGGCCAGGTGGTCACCTTTCCATTGTGGCACTTTTAGTTAAAAGTTTGCTTCCTGGTAGCTGGATGTCTTTTCTCATTAGTTGACTGGTGCTTGTTAATGATTGAGCTGCTGCTTCATGTTTTCCACTTTCTTTTCACAGCACTCATCCTGCTTCTCCAGTTGATGTGTCAGTAGACTCCCTGACAACATCGAGTATCCCCTTATATCACCTCTCCTCCTCTTGCTGCTTCTGCTCTTTCCTGTGCCTGGCATTCTGGTTCTTGTTCAATGGATTTATTGCTTGGAACAAAAGACTGCATATCCTTGCTGCTTATATTTCTGAGTTTTTATTGAGCTGTTTATGTTCTGCTATATTGTTGGCCTTAAGATCTAGAATTTTATTAAAGATACGTGGGCTATTTTGAAATTTTTGTTGCATATTTATTGCATATAGTAAGGCAATGGATAATTCTGGGTTTGCCATGGTGGTTAAATTATGTAAGTTTTATTTGTGCAAATGCTTTGGACATTTTTAGTGTTTCTGTTCCTAACCAGCATTTTGTGAATTTTATTTGTTAATGGTGTTAACAAAGACTTGAGATGGGACTTTATAATCTATTTCAGAAATGCAATATAGGTAACATAATTAGCCTTCTTGATAAGGAAGCAAGGTCTGTTTTCAATTGAAATATTTAGGTTAATTAGCATGAAATGTAGATCAGAGACACTGCACAGCAAGACTTTTCAAATTCTGATCTTCAGATGTCAATATGTATTTTTCTATTGACTGTGCCAATGCACGAATGAATGGTGTGTTTTACAAAATCAGACTTTAAAGTAGGCTGCTACTAGTGTTAAATCTTTTTGAAAAAGAATTGAAGCTGGAGTATTTACCTCAGGCGAGAGTATTAGTCATGCATTAATGGGCTCTAAAATTTTGTATCTGTGTCACACAGTTCCATTTTTGTCAAAAAGGGCTCTCAGTCTGCCCTCTGTTTGCAAGAAAGGTATCCTAAAACTATGACTGCTTCATGTATGCTTATAATTATTTCTGGTTCTGAGGAACAGAATAACTCTTAGATGACTAAACAGCTTAACATGCATTGACTATGTTTGTGAGATGAAATGGTAGCAGCATGAGAGAAAATGTCCTGGGATATGGTGATTTTTTTTTTCCATTTGTTTGAATTTCATTAATAT